TGTAATAGCCCTAAACAGAGCTGACAGTATTCAAAAATTAAATAATTGAAATGAAACTAAAAATGTGGCACTGCCAGCACAGTTCTTTTTTTCTTTGGTTTCGAGGGTGGGGGGGCATCCGCGCATGCTCCCGCAGCAGCAAGAACGGTGGCAACACTGGCTCGTGGGGTGCAGGCACACCTGCCTGCCTCGCACTCACCCACGTGCATAATGAGCGTTCTTCCTCGCCTTGTGCGCCGGGCACGCCGACGCCGTTTTGTTGGCAGCAGGGGACCCGTGAAAGATGCATGCTCGTAACAAAATGCCGAAATTCGGGGCAAAATTCCTAGATTGTCCATGGGGAAAATTCGTTATATCAAGGTTGTTTCCCACTGTTACTTTGTTACGTAGAGGTCGCAAATATATGTGCTTCTGTGGAGCAACGGCGGGGAATTGAAAAATTTCGTTACATCTAGGAATTCATTATATGGAGGTTCGTTATAAGCAGGTTTAACTGTATCATCAGCATGTGCTAAAACATGCACTTTACATGCCTGTAACTTAAACCCTTTAATTTCATTGCTGCTAATAACTTTCCTGCAGAGTAGTCCTAAACATACAGTAGACTCCCTTTAAGACGAACTTGAAGGGACCACAATTATTTGTTTGTCTTATCAGAAGTGCTCCCAAAAACCAAATGCCAACATGCCAAGTAAGCCTAAATATGTGGCTTGAAAAGCACCGAATTAAGTGTACTCATAATGTGGAGAAAAATAACAAGTTGCATTTATTTGGCTCAGCCTGATAAAAACTGTGATTTAAAGTAGAGTATTTTAGACTAATCTAACTAGTACCAGATTTACTCGATTCTACCGCGCCCTCGATTGTAACGGGCACCTGGTTTCCAGGACAAAAAAAAAGTAAGACATCGATTGCAGCGCGCACCCATTTTTCTCAATTTTTCTCAATCACACCACTCGGGAAAACAACTCCTTTCGGGAGCGTCTTCCGTTTAAATATGAGGTACGGGGAAGCTTGTGCCTATCTGACGTGCAACGGAGCATTGCCGTGACTCTAGTATTACCGTGGCCCGATGTCAGCACGCGAACTTGCTTTGCCCCCTTCTTCTCGACGGTTGTTGTGCCAGGCATGTCGAAGTAAATAGGCGTCTGATGGGCATTCCCGATTTGCCCAAGCAGGTAGCCGTTGTTGTGCCGCAAGTTTAGGACGAACCTCTGAAAACTGTGAAGCTTTTTATCGTACTACTCTGGAAACTTTTCGCATATGCACGTTCGCCTTCGGAGAGAAAAGCCTTTCCTCTTCATAAAGTTAGTTATCTAGCACCTGCTCGCTTTAAACTGGCTCCGCATTAGCCCTTTTTCTAAGGCTAACTGCATAGCCTGCACATGGAGCAGTTCTGTCGTCACAGGCCGCTGTGCCACTCACTGCTCAATCACATACTCGCCGAGCAGCTCTTCAATTTGTGGAAACCGATCCTGCTGTGGTCCACTGAAGCCTTTATCTTTGCTGTCGACAATCTTCTGCTTTTATTTTCCGCCAGTTCCGCGAAAAAAAAAAAATTTTTAAAGTGGCATCGTGGTGCACTCGACGAGTTTTTGGAGTCGGTCTTTCCATGCGTCGATGCTAATGCACTACAAGATAACGAACTTCTCGGAACACGTATGAAGTGCGGCACATAGGAAGCACATAGGCAGAAATGGCCGACGCACCATGCCGACGCACGTAAGGGACGGCCATTTCGGAAATGCTGATGGCAATAGAATGACCGTATTCTTTTTTTTTTTCGTACTCGATTCTAACGCGCATGCGATTTATGAACTCGCTTAACCGGAAAAAAGGTGCGCGTTTGATTCGAGTAATTACGGTACTCGGTTTTACGAGTTCATAGTAAGTATGCTCTTGAATAAATTGCTTCCACATTTTAACAATAAAACGGTAGCACAACCCTATTTTGACGGTTAGAAAAACATAAAAAGGAAGGGGCCAGCACAATTTTTCTTCAAATAATGGAAAATTTATTCTTCTGTGCTGCTGCAATTGCTCCTAACTGCCCCAAAAGAGAAATTCTACTTCAAGGTGCAATATTTGCTCGTAACTGCTCCAAACCTGCTCCAAAATGGTGTTGGCAAACTAAAAAGAAGAAAGTTGAACCATGGGACCATCTAGTGAGCATAAGCGAAACCAAAAGCAAGCTGTGGATAGTATTATTCTAGTATGCTACTCAGTGGCGTAAATCCACCTTCTGAGAGACTGTTTTTCTAGCTTTGCTATCACTTTAGGATAAGCCTCCATTGCATACCACTACCTTGACAAAACCAATATGCGCCAAGTTGTTCATGAAAGTCTGCAAGTTTTTCTTTGAGGTTTGGATATTTTTTTATTTCAGCTTGCAGTAACTTTTCCTGATGACATGCAGCGGAACATCTTCGTTTACACTACTCATGATCACAAGCCTCGGGCACACAAAAAAAGACCAACGCAGCTATACTTAGTGTTCAAAATGACCTTTCTTTCTCGTGCACTTTCATAATGAAAGTGGTGCATGACAAGTTGCTGCATTTAAGTCGGAACAGGGACAACGTGCACAGGCCCTCTGTAAAACGATGCAAACTGACCACAACGTATGCTCAGGTGCCATTGAGTGACAGCGATAACAATGCACCTGCCTCCTGTGATGGGAATGCTAATGCTACTTATGTGGTTTCCGTTTCATATGAATGTGATGTACAGACTGTCTTTGTTCCCGTTGTTACTTTCGCTTGTTTTTTTGCCCTCCCTTTTCTTGTATTTTCCCTTCTAGCCAAGCTCTTGTGTTCTTCTGTTCTCTACTGTACTCCCGTTGGGGAACTGAAGAACATGAGGAGAATACGAGGAGAACATGAGGAGAATACGAGAAGAACATGAAGAACATGAGGAGAATACGGAGCCGCGGCAACGCATGCTACGCCGGCAAGGAAAATATTAGCTGTAATCCCATATATTCACGGTGTTTCACATAACCTGAAGAAATTAGCAGAACATTGCTACATGCGAGTAGTTTTCTTGGCACCCATCAAGCTAAACAGTCTTTGCCGAAAGACGAATCCGGAGCGCCTAGAGAAAGGTCTGTGCGAAAAGAATCACCATATTAGGTTTGTCGCGTGCATCACAGGAGTCATCTACCGGATCCCATTAACGTGTGATGCATGCTATATAGGCCAAACCGGTAGATGCATCAATGATAGGCTGAACGAACACAAGAATAACGTGGCCAAGGCACAGCCTGAGGGTTTTCTTCCAATTCACTGCAAAGAATGCAGATGCCAACCTCTCTTTGATCGCACCAGCGTAATTGGAAGAAGCACTAACCATATGACAAGGCTCATTATAGAAGTGAAATTCATTGCTAAGTTCGGGGACGCCTGTATAAGCAAGCCATTGGTATTATTATCATTGAAAGAATTGCATTATTTGGATGTCGCATGAGTTGCAGTAGATCGCAATTTTCTGGTTCTAGCACGTGGTTGTGACATGCCATGTTTGGGTATAAGTATTGCTATTTCTCGGATCAAACCGCATTGTTGAAAGTAGCGCCGTCTATGTGTTCTGTGTCTTCTTCTCTGTCCCGTCCTGGATGCACTATACCTCGAACAATATAATATAATAGTGTTTGTCTTTAAAAATAAGCATAAACATATTATGAAGCTAAAGCTAAATATTAAGTGAATAGTCCGAAAACATCTAAAACGTCCAGAATCACTGGCTTTTCTTGAAAAGCGTGTAGTTTTTCTATCTTTTCTAGACTTGTGCAAACAGTGAATTTTAGGTACGAATAATTTTGAATCGAATTTGAATAGAATATATGATGTATAAATAAAAAATTGGCATATTAATCATGACCTAGCTAACCTGGAAAATAGTTTTTTGAAACAAGGCCTCCATGCAAGACCTTTCTTCTTCTTTTTTTTTTTTTTTCATTTAAAGGAAGTCGAAACAACTTTGAGTAGTCGCAGTATCGGACTTTCACTAACATGCAAGTGATAACCGTTAAAATATGTAACATTATTCATTACAGTTAGAGTATATAAGTTGGCAAAACAAGCTTTTAAGCTTAAAAAATTGTCAATCGATTTGACGGTAATATGTTCATTCAAAGGGATCTTGCAACAACAGCTTTTCAAGTAGGCATGGAATGGATTTACTAAACAAGCTTATTGCCCAATGAATTGACTACTACAAAAATTTTTAGAATCTGTACAGTATGAGCGGAGTCGCAAAGATTTGCGACATGCTACAATTGCATTCTCTCTTCTTGTCTCGATGAAAGCGCTTGAAGCAAAACCGGGAGAGATCTCATAGAAAAAGAATATACGTCACATGCGCGTCATGACCTTGAGCACTCTTTCTCTCTTTATTTTTCTTTGAATACGCGCCTTTTCAGTGTGATTGCTCATGTACGCATGAACATGCCGCGGCCACCCGCAGCAACCATGGTAAGAACCGAGTGCCCCATGCTCAAGTCAGCTAATGGCTGTGGCTGTGACGACAATGTACAATGGCTGTGTACAATGCTTGTGACGAGTGATTTTTGATATTGTGGCATCATTTGCCGAGAGAAGAGAGCAATTTTTATCTGTCTTTGAGAATTTGTTGTGAATTCCAGGTTGCGTGCTGCGCTATAATTAGCTCGCTCGCGTGTTCTCAGTAGCTTCGATGGCAGCGTTTGCTGACCATGCTGAAAAAGTGTAGCAGGGTCCCTTTAAATTTGAAGTGGGGCTTCGCAGCAGAGCAAGGTTTTTCTGGATAGGTGCTTTCTTGGTTTAGCACCACTATACTGCAGTGAAAGCATCTTTACAGGTGGTTAGATGCGGTTTGGCATTCGTTCATGTCGAATACTTTGAAATATTTGATAATTTAAATTCAAATTGAAGTGAATTTGAATACTCTAATATATGTTCGAATATTTGCACAAGCCTAATCTTTTCGTTGTCTAATGATGGGACTTTCCTCTGATTTTACAGAAGACTCATTCAGATGTGCATGGTTTACGTAACCTGATGTTTGAGACCTTTGCACTGCTGGAGGAGGCTCGCACAAGGTACATGAGGAACAGGGACCCCCAGTTTGTAGGACTTCTTCGTGATCGAAGCTTGGACCCTATCTCGGCCAGCCAATTGTCAAAGGCCCGGCGCCTGAAACGCTACGTTAAGGTGCAGCTGCAAGAAGTGCATACACGCCTTGATCTAGATTGGGAAGAGCAGGTTGCCCGCCACAAAAACATGTAAGTCTGTTTTGCTACACTATAAATTGTGGGAGACCACTTGTGCATGTTTTGACAGGTCTTAATGTACAGGTGCAGCCACTGTTACAGACAACACAATGGGTAGCCACGCACACCGAAGCGTCACAATGGGCGTTGGGCGAATTATGGTGGCACAAGCGCAATTAGTGCCCGAGGTGGAGTTAGCTGTGTGTTGTCTGCTATTGTTTCTCCCACTTCGCCACGAGCTGCCAAATTTACATTGTGTGCGCGGTTTCATCAGAGTGCATGCAACGAAGTGAAAGGAACCACAGTAGATGACATGCAGCTAACTACGCCTCTGACACTTATTGCACTTGCTCCATTAATACTTCGCGTGGCGCCTGTTTTTTGGGTCCGAGCAGTGTGGTCGCATGCGCCGTGTCATCTGCAATAATGGCCGCGCCTGTACAAGATTATGGTGCACTGTTTAGAGGAACAGCAGTTTAATTTATAGGTCATTCTATGCCAGTTGTCTCGAAAGTGGTGCTCAACAAAAATTAATTTCTCTAAAATAATTCGAGAAAATTGCTTACACATAGACATTAGCACTATAGTATCTTTTCAAAATATTTTGAGCAGCGAAAATTTTTTGGGCATAGGAGCTTCATTGGAATTTCACAAAATGTTGGAAAACCAGGTATGAAAAAGAAAATGCCATAAATATATCATTCCAGGCATTTTTTTAACACTTGTTTTTTTGCATTTTTTTACCAGCGTGATCTTATTATAGGACTTTTCCTCATACAGTCGAATTCCGCTACAATTAAATTGACGGGGCACGTGGAAAAATTCGTTGTCAGTTAATAATAAGTAAGATCTGATGATTATGACTTGTCTCATGGTCCCAGCAAGTGCATGCATTAAACTCTCGCAAACTCTGACGTATCTGGCCAGCCACTCAGTGAACGTATTTTCTCGTGTATAACACAATCAAAATATACAAAGAAATATTGAGCTGAAGTCGGATTGCAAATTATACAAGCATTTTGGTGCGCAAGTCGGCTTCACGGCATGGCTTTGCAAGGAAGGCGGTTTTGCATCAATACGGGGTTAGTTTTCTCTTCCTCCGGCGGTTTGCAGACGGGGGTGCCGGTTACATGCCGGGGCTGGTTATACAGAAGAAAATACAATATTTAGACGACTCTTAGGGCGTGCCGAGAGCTGTAAACAAGCGTGCCAAGGCTTCGCTAGAGGGCAACTAAAAACTGCAACTGAAAGTGTCAAAGCTTCACACTACCGTGGCCATAAGTGAATGACAGAAAAGCCGTAAGGCTTCTAGTCATTTTATCGATTTATTACCTTTAATTTATAGTTGTGTTAGCTGTGCACCTTCTGATGGTATTCACTATTGATGAACACGATCATAGCAACCACTGTTTCCTGTGCAGCGGTTGCGGCAAACAGTAGTTCCGTTTTCAATTTGTGCGCACTGTGCCGGCTGTGCATGTGACTTAAGAACTGCATCGTTGCCATCTTTGTATGTGCGTTACAGCATAAAATATTGGGTTGAGTCAGTGCATGTGACTGCACGCGTACTTTCGTGATCACCCACGATCGTGTTCGACACGACCGCATTTCGCAGTGGTTGTGGCAAAATGGTGATATGCTGGGACTAGGTGTGCGCAGCTCGCGCGTGTGCCTTCATGATGTCGTGATTGTCATTCGCAATTGCAGGGCTAGTCATGACGAGTGGTAGTTCTGTTGTGAGCACGACATAAAAAACATGGCGGGAGTTCTTGAATATCGCGATTCTGCTGCGGCCTGCACGTGCATCAAGCCAACTGGTGGCATCACAGTGGATGGGCGAGCTGTCGCCGTGCATCTCAATGGCAATAAATTTAGCGGAATGTGCATGTGGTGGCACAAAACGTGTCTCATATGAACAGACATGGTTTTTGCGATGAGGTCATGCGCTCACGAGCCGCCGATAAATGGCCGAGTTTGTAGCGGAATTTCGTGGTGATCCTTGGCAAGGTCGTTTTCTTTATGGGGTAGTACATGCGAAAACTTAGTTGAAGCGCAAATATACAGAAAATGTATTCGTTGTGACGACACATTTTTCACATTGTTTTCTAAAGGTAGCTGACGGGGAATCGAAAATTATTTATTGTGGAGGAAATTTTGTTGTAGCAGACTTTGTTATAACCAGATTAAACTGTAGTAGCTTTATATATTTTACTCCTTAGCACACATGTTAAGTAAATTGCAGTGTTCGGGGAATTTTTTTACAAAAGACAATTATCCATCAAGTGTGCAAATTGCATTTATAAAACCCATTAGTATCTCTTAACTTTTTTTCTCCTTTGTGCGGCTGTGGGCTTTACTAAAAATTCTGAATGTGGGTAAACAACGCTGCCTTAGCCTATGTTGCGACATCTGTAGCACCCAAAGGGGGTCCAAGAAAAAATAAACAAAAAGCACATACAATTGTAAATCATAACTTTGTCCAGAGAAAGTTTTATAAAAGTACTTTTTGTGTTTGTAGAAAAAACATTTTTAAGTTCAGTCTCATCATTGCATTGTTTTGCTATTGGAGCAATAGAAACCAACTGAATTGGCTGTGCAAAAAAAAAGTTGTGTATTCATAATTATTATTGCTTACTTTTGTTAGTACTTTGCATTGTTTATTAATATTGTTATGTGGAAAATAACAGTTGTCAGTCTACAGCCTCAACGCAGCTCACTGACGTCCACTTCTTCACTCTCAGTCTGAGGCACCGCCTGAGGCACCGTCTGAGGCACCGTCTGAGGCACCCACTATGCCCTGTTTCAGTCAGCCGAAATCACGTGACACAATCCCCGGCGGCAGAAGCGCCGACTCGGCGAGTTTACGGGGCCACAGCAGGAGCAGTGTGGTAACACTTGAGCCTTGATACGCGGATGATGTCCCTTGACAGCAGAGCAGAAGAGGTTGATGGATTATCAGGGACAATTTCATATGTAGTGTCGATCCCTCATCAAAGCACGCGGTATGGGCCCATTAAACGAGATAGAAGTTTTTCTGAAAGGCCTGCATGTTGCGTAGGGGACCAAAGAAGAACGAGGGAACCTGTTGGAAAATGTTCGTCGCGATGCCGCTCGTCATAACGATGCTTCTGCGAGTCTTGGGACGCCATTAATCTGCTGCGGGCAAGCTGACGAGCATGGTCAACTCAGGTAATAGCGTTGCGTGCATATTCAGAAGTAGACTGCGCAGCGGTTGGCAGGAAGGTATCCAACGGCAATGTTGGTTCGCGTCCAAACAGAAGGTAAAATGGCGAGTACCCAGCAGTGTCATGCCGGGAGGAATTGTATGCCAACGTCACGTAGGGTAGTGCAAGGTCCCAATCACGATGGTCGGCCGAGACGTATTTTGATAGCTTGTCTGTCAGGGTGCGGTTTAAACGTTCTGTAAGCCCGTTTGTCTGGGGATGGTACGATGTCGTGAGCTTATGTTGGGTAGAGTAGGAACGCAGGATATTGTCAACCACTTTCGAAAGGAACGTACGACCTCGGTCTGTCAGCAGTTGACGAGGGGCTCCATGCACTAAAATGAGATCGCGTAGTAGAAAATCAGCGACGTCTGTAGCGCAGCTTGTTGGCATAGCTCGCGTAACTGCGTAACGGGTCGCGTAATCCGTAGCCACCGCGACCCACTTGTCTCTGAAGGCGGATGTTGGGAAGGGGCCGAGAAGGCCCAAACCAACACGGAAGAATGGCTCGGATGGGATGTCGATGGGCTGAAGATATTCGGAAGGGTGTCCCGACGGCTTTTTGCGACGCTGGCGAATTTCACAAGCGTTGACATAACGACGTACAGAGCGTGAAAGGCAAGGCCAGTAGAAGCGGCGGCGCACACGATCATATGTGCGAGAGACACCAAGGTGACCGGCGGTTGGCGCGTCATGGAGCTCGCGTAGGACTGTGGAGTGCAGGTGCTTTGGTATGATCAGAAGTAGGTCGTGGCCATTGGGCGATAAATTACGCCGATATAAGGTGTGGTCCTTTAAGGTAAACATGAGAACAGAAGCGTCTTGCTGTGAAGATTCGAGCTGTTGTATTAGGCGGCTGATATCCGGATCATGACGCTGCTCGTCCCCGAGATGAAACAGCTGGGAGATGGAAAGGACGCAACCTACATAATCAGTGCTCGTAGGATCGCAGTCGGCCACTGGTTAGCGTGACAGACAATCCACATCTTTGTGCAGTTTTCCTGATTTATACACTACGGTGTAAGAATACTCCTGGAGGCGGAGCGCCCAGCGGGCGAGACGACCTGTGGGATCTTTGAGGGAGGCGAGCCAGCAAAGAGCGTGGTGGTCGGTGAGAACTATAAATGGGCGGCCATATAAGTAAGGGCGAAATTTCGCGACTGCCCACACCAGCGCTAGGCATTCGCGCTCTGTGATGGAATAATTACGCTCCGAGCGGGACAGCAGCCTGCTGGCATAAGCTATCACGCGATGCTGCCCACGTCGCTGAGCCAACACAGCACCTATTCCGTAACCGCTGGCATCGGTGCGGACTTCGGTCGGTGCTGTAGGGTCGAAGTCAGCCAGCACAGGAGAAGTGAGCAAAGTGGTCAGGTCAAAGAATGCTGCTGCTTGCGAGGGACCCCAGGTAAACGTCTCATCTGGTTTGAGTAAATCTGTTAGGGGCCGAGCGATTTCTGCGAAGTTCTTGATGAACCGCCGAAAATAGGAGCAGAGCCCCACAAAGCTGCAGACATCTTTGGCAGTTTTTGGCACAGGAAAGTCCCTCACAGCTCGAAGTTTTTCTGGGTCAGGCTGTACGCTGTAAGCGTCAACAATATGTCCAAGTATTGTAATGCGACGGCGACCAAACCGGCACTTGGATGAATTCAGCTGAAGGCCGGCGAGACGAAATACATCAAGAATTTTCGACAGTCTCTCAGGGTGCGCTTCAAAAGTGGGAGCAAACACGATCACGTCATGCAGATAACAAAGACACGTAGACCACTTGAATCCATGGAGCAGGGAGTCCATCATTCGTTCTAAGGTGGCGGGGGCATTACCTAGGCGGAAAGGCATGACTTTGAATTGGTAGAGGCCATCGGGTGTTACAAAAATCGTCTTCTCTCGGTCCGTGGGGTCCACGGCAATCTGCCAATAACCAGAACGAAGATCGATGGAAGACAAGTAGGCGGCACCATGGAGACAATCAAGGGCGTCGTCAGTGCGGGGCAGAGGGTATGCGTCTTTCTTGGTGATGTTGTTAAGGTGGCGATAGTCCACACAAAATCGCCATGATCCGTCCTTCTTTTTTAACTAAGACCACCGGGGATGCCCGGGGACTGGAGGATGGTTCAATAATGTCCTTCGCTAGCATCTTGTTCACCTACTTCTGAATTATGCTCTGCTCAAAAGCAGACACTCTGTAGGGGCGGCGGTGAACAGGGTTGGCATCACTTGTGTGTATACGATGCTGGACAAAGGACGTCTGCCCTAGAGGTTGGTCGCCAAAATCGAAAATACTCTGGTAGGCCTCGAGAAGATGTTGTAGGGCTTCAACTTGCGGAGGCGGAAGATCAGTGGCGATCATGTCTACAATTTGACGGCTGCCCAAATGTGTTGCGAGTGATGTGCGCTGCGTTGAAACAAGGGTGTCTAAGGCAAGCACTTCAATTTGTGAATCGAGCAACGGACACAGGTGGGCCACGGAAATGCCTTGTGGAAGCACATGATTTATGTAGCCGAAATTTACAAGTGGTAGACAAGTTTTGTTGTCTGTGATGCTGAGCACTGTATAGGGCACTGCAACACTGTGCTCAAGGAGTACGTCGGTGAGAGGCGTAGCGTAATAGTCACCGTCGGCCACAGCTGGTGAGCACAGAAAATCGACGTACGTCAGAGTTTTGGAGGGCAGGTGAACAAAGTCGCTGCATTGTAATCGGCTTGTAGGTTGGTACGGGCGTCACTGATTTGTGGCAGTTCTAGGCGGTGCACACCAGTGGAGCAATCAATCAGAGCAGAATTGGCGGCAAGAAAATCGAGGCCTAGTATGAGGTCGTGGGGACATGTTGCAAGCACGGTAAAAAGAACGACCACTTGATGACCGGCTACGGTAAGTTGAGCTGTGCACATACCGACGACAGGGACTGTTGCGCCATCTGCAACTTGGACGACACTGGTCAAGGGGGGTGTAAGGACCTTCTTCATGCGACGACGAAAATGCGAACTCATAATATAGACGTGAGCGCCCGTATCTATCAAAGCTTCAACAGGTGGGCCATCAACATATACTTCTAGGGTGTTCCGGTTCAAACGTAAGGGCAACAGAGGATTTTTGGGTAAGGTCGACAGGGCAGCTTCACCTCCAGAAGCTGCGCAGCCTAGTTTTCCGGGGACATGCGGCGGTTAAACGATGGCGAGGGATAGCGGCGACGCGTATTTGAACGAGAAGGGCGGCTTTGAGGCGGTGGCGACGACGGGACAGGGTGGCCGTAGTCCTCAGGGGCAGTAAATGCTGTAGACTCAGTGCGGGTCGGATAACGGTGGTTTGGTGGACGGAATGAGTTACTGTAAGCGGGGTACGAGCCAGAAGACATAGATGGCCATTGGCTGCGGCAGTAACGAGCGATGTGTCCTGCGCGACCATAGCGGAGGCAGATTGGCTTATCATCAGCTGTTCGCCATTCAGACGGGTTCCTGGTTCGAATAGAGTACGGACGGCGATGTCTCATGTCCACAGAAGCTATCGAGGGACCAGTATTATCCAGGGTAGGTGCAGTGGACAGGATACCAAGGTTAGCGAATTCCTGGCGGACAACAGCCTGGATCAAGGCGACAGCTGGCGTTGAGGCGTCGGGCAATGTCGGTTTGTTGGCAGCCGGGTAAGCGGCCTCGAGTTCACGTCGGGCGATGCGCGTCACGTCTTCGGTCGTAGACGGATGACAAGGAGTGGCTTCACAAGACGACGTTGCCGCGGTGTTGGGTAGGCGCTGGAACTGCTGCAAAATGCGTCGACTCTTCGCCTGCTCGAGACGGCGGCACTCTTTGATCACGGCGTCGATGGTCGTTACGTTGGTAAATACAAGCAAGCTGAACGCACCGTCGGCGATTCCTTTCAAAACTTGCGAAATCTTGTCGGCCTCAGTCATGTTGGAATCGGCCCTTTGACACAACGCTAAGACGTCTTGAATATAAGTCAAAGGGCTCAGTGGACGTCGGTGTACGTACGGCCAATTGCTTTCGGGCATCAAGCTGTTGACCAAACGGGTTGCCAAAGAGGTCGCGGAGCTGTTTTTTAAACATATCCCAGCTTGTGATTTCGTGCTCATGGGTCTCAAACCAGATGCGAGGGGTCTTGTCAAGATAGAAAATGACATTCGCAAGCATAACGGTTGGGTCTCAGCCATATTGCTTGCTGACGCGCTCGTACATACTGAGCCACTTGTCCACATTCGCGTTTCCCTCTCTGGTAAAAGTACCGGGATCACGGGGTTGCGTTAGGGCGACGTACCGGGTTGCTGCCGTTGCTGAGGTAGGTGGTGAAGCCGTATCCTCACCCGAAGCCATAGTAGCAGGCTTAAGGAGGCGTCCACTGCGTAGCTTCGTTGTCAGAAGAGCACCCAGCACTTCCACCAAAATGTTATGCGGAAAATAACACTAGTCAGTCTACAGCCTCAACGCAGCTCACAGACAACGTCCACTTCTTCACTCTCAGTCTGAGGCACCTTTTTTTGGGTATGTCCCACTATGCCCTGTTTCAGTCAGCCGAAATCACGTAACAATATCAATGTGATAACAGAGGCAAAAATTATAGCAATTACTATAGTAATCATATTATTAATATTATGTCATCTATTTACAAAAATGTGTACAATAAGAATGTGGTTGTAAAACAATGTTATAAATAAAATAAAATAGGAAAGCAGTTCGAAAAATAGCTAGAAAAAATATCGGAAGAAAAAGTTCATGGTAGCAATAAAAAAGTGACGCATTGCTAAATAACACAAAATCAGAACAGCGAGAAATGCACAAAGCTTAAGTACATAAACAACTATGATAAGATACTAGAATCTGCTTTCATAGCAGTGTTACAGAACGAAGAAATGTGACAGAAATAATAATTACTTTGGAAATAGGAACACGTACACTACTTGTATGTGTTCTTCTAAATTTTTCTATATTTCTAGAATTTTTTCGGTAGCCATCCAAGTTGAGCATTAAAATAGTACTACTAATTATTTTTTTTATCTTTTTATCTTTTTATCTTAGGCGGAAATGTTGTAGGCCCGTGTGCTCAGATTTGGGTGCACGTTAAAGAACCCCAGGTGGTCTAAATTTCCGGAGCCCTCCACTACGGCGTCTCTCATAATCATATAGTGGTTTTGGGACGTTAAACCCTACATATCAATCAATTATCTTTTTACAGTACTTTTTTATGGATACAAACTCGCACATCTTTACTGTGGTGGCTGTTAACCCAAAGGTCAGGGATTGAATCCGGTCATGTGTCTGCATTTTCGATAGAGGCGAAATGCTGGAAACACGTGTGCGTAAATATAGGTGCATGTTGAATTCCAGATGGTGAAATTTCTGGAGACCTCCACTACGGCGTCTCTTAAGGCTGTGTCATATTTTGGGATGTTAAACGCCCAATCATTATTAAACTATTGGCATATGCATTGGCCAGTACGGCTTATTTATGGTATTATGGCGTCGTGCTGCTCTGCAGACTCTCTCATTTCCCACTTCGCTCTCTGCTTTTCCTTTTTCAGTAGGGATAAGGCTGAGCTTTCATCAGCTGAGGCCATCTACTGGGCTTTGCGCGACTGTCGCAATACTGCTGAGCTACTCTGCAAAACTGTCAATTCTTTGGAAACACGATTGAAAAAGGCCCAGGCGGAAAGCAAGCAGAAGAAGTTGTTGCGAAGACCACGCTGGAATGAGCCTCGGGACGTGACCAGGTGAACTTGATATATATATATATCTGTTTTATTTTGCATTCGTTATTGTCTGCTTGTGTGTACACATTTTCTGACCATTCTGAGTACCTCTTAGTTCACAGTAATGCACTGAAAAAATCCTATTATATTCTGTTCACTGCATGCTAGATGTATGAATATGAAAATTTTCTGGCACAGACTGAAGATACTCACCATCTGGTTTTAAATAATTTTATGCAAATTTTCTGTAAAACTTAATATTAAGGACTAATAAGCTATTACATTAAAAGGACACTAAAGTCAACTATTAAGTCGACGTTGATGGCAGTCCAGAAACCTCGTAGCGTTACTTTTGTGCCAAGGAAGGGCCTATTTTGAAACAAAATCGCGTTTTAGTGCTCCGCATCGGGTTCGCGCACTTCAAATTACCCGCCTCAAGAAGCGGACCGACCGCACCGACTCTCGTCACTGTTGTCGTGCACAACGTTGCCTGGCTTTACTGCGCTAGTAGCAGCAGACCGAAAGCAGCGGGAGCCACAGCAGCAACAATGGCCATTTATCAATTTCCCGCCATTGCCTTCAAGATTGCAGATGTTTTTTGGTTCAACTGTGACCCGCTAGATGGCACCACATGTTTTGCGTAACAATGCGAAAATTGAGTTTTTTAACCACTTGCGCCGTTCTCCATAGTAACGTCCGGCGGTCCTTTTTTTCATGAATCAAACAGAAATGAACAAGCAACATTTTATTGCGTCTCGTCATGCACGGAAGGTTCTTTATTTAGTGCAGTTAGGTTAGATTGATTTCTAGTGATTAATTGTAGGCAGGCTGTCTGATGTCATCGGGATCATGTTGAAAATGTCCTACTGCGGCGCTTGTGTTCTTGTGCATTTATCTTAATTTCTCGGTAAGTAGGGTTCTGTGGTTGATAATATTGTCGTTTTAGATGTTGTCATACATTGAGATTTCACTCTGACGTAAATTGTTATTTGAATTTAGTGTCCCTTTAAAGGACTGTTTTGGTGGTTTTTGTTAATCTAGATAATTGCTCACAACATATCTGTCACATCTCTCTAAGCTGTTCACTTTCATGCAGAGTTAAGGCATTTGACTACATAGGCAGTTGGCCTTGTGCTAGTTTGCTCAAAAAAAAAAAAAAAAGCTTTTTGGGGACTGCTACTGCAAGCTGCAGAAGAAAAGTATGAAACACGAATCAATGTATGCGATAGCAACAAAATAGAATACTAAAGAAACTAAAGCTTGCAGCTAATTCCATAACAGTTTAATCTTGCGTAACTGTACAAAAATTTGCCGTGAGATAATATGGCCGCCCCGCGAAGCGAAGCAGTTTTTGTGCTCGCTGTTGTCTCGGCATGAAGTAAACGGATGAGGGCTCAGCGGGTATAAGAGTAAACGAGCCATCTGACATCTGTTAAGGGAGCATGCGCGACTGCACCGTTTTGATCAAAGTTTGTGGTAGCTGCCCAACCGATGCACCCCATTCCCCACACCGGCGGCCCTTCATGAGCACTTCTTCGCCCGACGAATGACTGGCAGGACATTTACTCTCTGCTTAAGGAGCCATTGCTGGCAAGCCTCACCCGTGGGGCATTTTAGTCTTTCATGCGATAGAGGTGGCCGGCTCGCTTCGTGCGTGTTTCATTCATGTTCGTCTCAAGCACATACGTACAAGGCACAAAGCAAAGTTGTTGATTTGAACATTGTGCAGAGCATGATGGCAACTGCAAAAACCGGCCAAGGGTGTCCATAAAATTGCTATCCCAATAACATTCAACCATCTATATGAACTATTTTTTCTTTCATATTTATGGACTAATATAGAATGCGGCACGCTTACTTAAGCCAGGTAAATTTAGCAGTGGCAGAGCCCAAAGTCAAGCGAACTATCAAACATATGCAGAAAATAACACAGAGAGTATAAAATGTAAAAGGTGTATAGAGATCATTAGGCACTGCTTCTCTACTTAGCATTCAGGAAAGAATCAGAATTAGGCAAGTGCAGTTAGTTGATGCGAACCTCCGTAGACCAGATTAGGCTGAGCAGTGCCCAAGCATGGAGGCTGGCAGATAATGAGAAAACATGTATGCACCTATGTGATGCTGTCGGGAAGATGCCCATCTTACGTTTTATGTCTTTCTCTCTTGTTCACTCTGATATTTCCTATGGTGGCTGAAAGTGCAAAGAACAACTAAATCAATCACTGGTACATTATGCACTTGACATCTCTAAAACAGATCAAAAGGTACTGTCCGCTCTGTTTTTCACTCTATTCTGTCACAGCTCTAAAAGGGAGAGGTTTAGGAAAGGCAGAATAGGCACCGGCATGAAGGTGAGTGGGTATGACACAAACCCCAGAAGGTGTTAAAACTGTGCTACATTAATGCACCCCTTTCGTTATTTGTAAATTTTATGAATGGTAAATATGAACCTAGACATGCAACCTCAATTCAACTCTGGAATGAATGGAGCGAATATGCCAAAGCTCAGTCGATCTTAGTGTTGTGCCGGATTTGGCAGCAATAAGATGCATCATTGGAAAATTGAATGTGTCTAATGAAAAATAATTCCATCGCTAATTGTGTTAATGGGACCTTGCAGCACTTTTTGAAATAATCTTCAAATGGCTTCATTGAGGAAACACGACAGTCTAAAAATGCAAGAATTTTCCAAGATTACATATATATTTTTATTTGCTTTTGCAAGTTTTGTTTCTCTACTTTCTTAACAGAAAAAAATTCAGGAGTGTAAATATACTCGAAGTAGGTTAAAATCACTTCAAAAAGTATAAGGTGGGTACTAAAAGCGAAAAAGAGCTCATTGTCTTGAGTCCCCTGAAAATTGTCATCTGGCTACTTGCCATTGCACTTTGCATGAGGAGTTCAGTTCAGTAAAGCCATATGCTCAAAATAACAATGATTGCCAAGCTGTCATGATGTAAAAAAATTATTGTAAAAAACATACCTTTGCTGCATAGATGAGCTTTGGCTTATACCTTTAAAAGGCATTTTCCTCAAGATTCATTTTGGGCATCAACATTAAATTTTGCCCCGATATACCCTAACATTTGAAGGGTGCAAGAATCTCCTTCAAAACTCGATATTGCCAGTACAATTATTACGAAGCTAAAGCAACCAATTAGTATAAGCTGAGGATTCTAAGAATTTTCACATTACAATTTTTCTTGTCCATTAAATTGTCTTATACATACTTTCTTCATGGTTACTTGCATTCTACAGTTTTTGTGGAGCAATATGGGGCATTGATGGCTCAGAACCATAAATGTTTAATGGCATAAAGAGTTTGTCCAAAACGAACCATATTTTGGGCATTGTCATGGCACGAAAAAAAATGGTGCAATTAACTACAAAACTACACTCAAACCTAATTATAACAATGTTGCGTCTTACGCAAAAACTAGTTCTTTATATGAGAATATTCCTTATAAAGGTAGCCCCGCCAAGGTGGTCTAGTGGCTAAGGTACTTGGCTGCTGACCCGCAAGTCGCGGGATCGAATTCCGGCTGTGGCGGCTGCATTTTCGATGGAGGCAAAAATGCTGTAGGCCCGTGTGCTCAGGTTTCAGTGTACGCTAAAGAACTCCAGGTGGTTTAAATTTCCGGAGCCCTCTATTACGGCGTCTCTCATATTCATATAGTGTTTTTGGGACGTTAGACCCCACATATCAATCTTTATGAAGGTTATTCCTAACACTACATTTATTGCAAGATTATTTTTTCATTTACTTAGTTAGAACCGATATTTCATTGTGTCCTGTTTTGTTAATATCGAGGTGTGAGTGTAATTACATATTTCACATCAGCATAAAATCTTACATACGTTGAAAAAATTTTATTGCTCATGCTTAGAGATCAACAAAACCTCTTTTTGCCTTACGAAATGATTGCGGGGAAAAAAATGTTTTGAATCCGTGAAGTATAAGTGGAGTTATTTGTTGTACGCTTTAAGCGCTTTCTCTCTTGCTTTTTACCAGTGAGCCCACTCAAGGCTATAAGGCTATGCAGGGGTGGGGGTGACAAAAAGCTACATCTTTTGTCAGTATGTCACGACCTTGAGCACTTCGTTTTTCTTCGAATGTGCAGCTTGCATTAAGTGTGATCACAAGCGAGCGTGCAGGCAGTTCATGGCATCCCGCGGCAAACCCAGTAACTTTATAGCTCATGATGCTCAAATCAGCCAATGGCCATAGACTTTAGATTTATGGCGTGGCCATGAGGGCTTAAAACATCATTTGTCAAGAAAAGAGCGAGCGATTGCTAGCTGAATTTGATAATTGCAGTTTAACACCTTCGTAAGAAACATGTACCGGGGAGCAATTCTTGCCTTTTGTGTGAGGTGTCTCTTATAAGCAGGGTACCACGCACCGATCAGCAGGGTATCAACACCGATTGTAATGCAGGCACATCGGTGTCTCTTATACCCATTTGCCTCTTATATAGATGCCTCTTATAAAGGGGTTAGTCTGTATTAGTTAATTCCAGGCTATTTGATGTTAGGCTACCTGTTGTCAGAGGCTTTGAGTGCTGAAAAATTGTTGCAGGGCCCCTTTATCTGGTTACGAACCCTTTGATATCTTGTTGTCACTATTATGCTGTCCACTCATTGGTCACGAGTTGAAAGATGGGCTTCTTAAGCCCATCTTTCAGATGGGCCCAAGAAAGTTGAAACATATCGATTTATGTTTTTTGCTCTGTCGCAGGGGAGAGGAAGTAGCTGCATTGGCAGATTGCCTTTTGTCAACCAGCCTTTCACGTACTCCTAGTGAAGCCAGTGGCAAGGCACGTGCTAAGCCACGCAGGGCTGCCCTTAGCGCTGAGAAGAGGTCAGCTCTGGCAGAATATTTTGGACACAGGGATGTGTCTGTGATTGAGCCTCGAGTGATTGGTGAGCCGTTGTGACTCTACAATTTTCTTTAAGTTATATTTTTATGCCCCTGTCCTATGTTTGTTTTCAGGGGCTATTGAACTCACTGGCCATTGATCGCTCAAGAGCTGTAGACATGTGTTGTTGCTACACATTATATAGTTTACCCATAATGTTGTGTGCATGGAACTGGCATGCATTTAAAAGCATGATGCAAGGTATGGTAGATTTCAAAACCTGTGCTGAGAAGGTTAAAGGGAAGTTGAAGGCAAGACGCAGTTGTATAATACAACTGTTTCTGTGTCAGATGAATCTTATCGAGTTGCACCATTGTGGTTATTTTGTTTTTGTTTTTTCTACCTGTATTGTGTTTGGCAATCAAAACGCTCTACTCTGAACACATGGCTGTTGCGAGTGAGGGTGATGGTAAGGGTGAGAATGTTCTTGCTGACTGCATCTGGTGGTCTCTGTCTGTGGTTCTTGGTGGCTCTGGTGGAACTCTGCTTGCCATGGCTTCAAAACACTGTGCTCATACTGCACCACGCAAAGTGACCAGACCTGGCACCATCGAGAACAGATTAAACAGCTGTTTATCGCATGCAGTCACTATGCGTCGCAGACACTCTCACCCTCACCATTATCCCCACTGCCAGCAGCCACATGTTCCAAATATTGCGTTTCAACCACCGAGCACTGTATGAGGTACTTTAAGATCGAAAGAGGTAGTGACCTGAAAAATTTGGCGTCATAATTTCTTGCAGTACTAATGTGTTGCTAGAGGCTTGTTAGCCATAACAGGGCACATTGTTTTCTGCAGTGCACAACAGATACCTAATTACAGACTCCTCGTTGCCAACCAGTTTTCAGCTTCAGTCTGAGAAAGCTCTAAAGACAACGACCGGATGCAACAGTCACCACCTAGCGTGTGCAATGCTCGATGACATGAGCGCACCGTACGCACTTTCATGCAGTCCAAATGAAAAAACAAGAAACAGGAAAGCAGTGTCACCAAACACAACTTTCTGTGTGTGTGCCGCAATCACGAACTCGCAAGCAGCTGCCAAAAAGTAGTCTGCCGGCGCAAGCACAAAAAGAGAGAAATCAGGATTATGACGTAATCACGACTTCATGAGAATTGAAACTTGAGCAAGTTGGTACGTATTCATCTTGATTTTAGCAGCGCACTGGGGGACAGGGCCCGTGTTGTGCGCATTCTTTTCTTCTTAGTCCTCACCCCCCAGTGTGCTGCTAAAATCGAGGTCATGATAACTTGTGGTGGCGGTCACGGCATGGTGTTTTTGGGGAAGTACGGGGGTCACGTTCAAGAGTGTCAATGCCGCGAGGTGTGGCATGTAGCACTGGATCACGCACCAAACTTAACAGTGCCTATAAAATAGCTTCCAAGCCATATTTGCTGTGGATATTTTGCAGATGATACATCTATGTCTATTCATGGGAATTGATCCCACTGGCTGTCTTGCCTGCAAATTTCGTGTCACTATCCTTTCAAGGCAGGGTAGTCAACATTCTGGATTAAAAATATGTAGATGGGTAGCCTCTGAATATTTGTCTACCACTGAGAAAAATAAAAAATTCTCATAAGCTTTGAAGTGTCTAGGTAGCCTGAACAAACTTGCAGAATTTGCACTTCTCTTTTGCAAAAATAACTTTATTTCACGTGTACTGAATGCTGAACCATTCGGCACTCCTGTAAGTCTGCTACTTCTAAGAGTACCATGATCATATCTTCATACGAAATATATATGCTAATAAAGTAGCATTATTTTGGTCAATTCTGCATAATGGTGCATTAAATCTAAAGATCATTAGATGTCATGAGTGAGAGTGTAGCAAAGGTATAATTACCAATATTCTTTAAAGTGCTGCTCTCACAACATGGCGACCTCACTGATTCTGACGAAGAAATTTAAAGAGCCCTCATGTTATCCCCAACTGCCATTATACAATGGTGCTACAGATGACAAATATTCCAAAAATCCTAGGATTAGTTTAGTGACACTTATGAAGGATCTTTCATTTTCATCAGCCTATTCCATGCTCACTGCAAATGAAAGGCTTCTCCCAACTACCCCCAATTAATTGTTTGTATATGTCAGCATCAGCCATAGCATTGTTTGTATATACGTGCTTCCACTTGTAATAATAATAATAATAATAATACAGTCGACTCTCGTTAATACGAAGTTCACGGGGACCGCGAAAAACTTCGAATTAAGCGGAATTCCAATTAATCACAATGAACGAAAAATACATTTATTTCAAAGCAGTTTATGAGAAAAAATCTGTGATTGCCGTTTGCTTCTGTTTGCTGAATCTTGCAGCAGAAAGCAAGTCCTGCAGGCTTTATATGTGCTCAAGTGCTTCCTCGGCGTTGCTCTCAGCAGTGAAAAACCACTGCGCGAGGGCAAGGCCTGCGGCTACATCAGCAGCCCGCGGTAGTGGCTCACTTGCGGCGGCGTCGTCGTGAACCTCAGTTTTGTGACTAGGCTCGCTGGCCCGAACCATCTCCGCGATCTCAGCGTCCGACAGTGCACCGCACGTTTCTACCGAACTGTCAGTGGCAATGTACTCCTCGAAAGGGTCGTCGCCGAGAGCTGGCAGGAGACCATCAACGTCAAGCTCGCTTGTGTCTTCTTCCGCCACTGTACAAGACGCGCCATCATCTGCACCACTTGGAATGAAGCCGCACGCCCTTAAGCAGTTCGCAATGGTTTCATCCTTTACGCAACCCCACATTCGCGCCAGCATATGGATAGCACTGAGAAGGCTCACCTCATACTGACTTGCCCGCGAGTTGCCATAGTAAATGCACGTGAAGCTTCGTCGCACGTGGAAACGCTGAGTCCGCACACGACCGTAATGAAATCAACAGTGAAGCTCGGAACCGGAACCGCCAGAGCAGCCGCTTCGTGATCTGGGACGCTGCATGCAACTGCGATGCCATCAGCTGACGCTTTGAGCTGCGGCGCTGTGGTCAACTGCGATGCCCTTGGGTGCCGGTCGGACACGCATTGTTGTTTAGCACTTCGAAAAAAGGAAATTTAACAAACACTACGATTTCCTCCGGGAATTCGATTGAAAATAAATTCGAATTAACCGAAATTTTCAGACCTCTAGCTTCTAATTACCAAGAATTTCTTCCTGTTGAACTGCATGCAAAACTGACGGGACCCCCGCTCCACTTCCAATTAACCGATAATTCCAATTAAGCGACTTCGAATTATCGGGAGTCGACTGTAATAATAATACAGTATAACCTCATTAGAATAGATCTCCACAAGGAAGATTTTGGTCTGTTGCAAAAGGAGTATGTAAAATCCAAGTATTGTTACAACAGACTTTTACGTAAGCACTCAATGGGTGTTTTATTGTTATAACCAGAGGGAATTACTAGTCATGAGCGGATTTACTCTCAGCAGGGGCATAAATTTTGTTTTTTAAATCCCCCTTAGTTTCTATGCCCCCTCCCCCCTTTTCTTCAAAATCTGATTCCAAAATATTGTCACTGAAAACTATGCAGAAGTGCTGTAAAAACTTTTTTGCGCCTGCCGAGGTTGTGAAAATTATTGCGAAAGTCACAAAAAAGGAAAAAAAAAAATGTTTTTTTTTTTTCAAAAAATTATAGCTCCTAAACGGCACAACTGTTGAAAACTGCGTTAATTAGTGACGTTCTTGCACTCGTTTTGTGTTCACGGAACACGATGTAGTTACGGCAGCTGCACGGAAGTGCAGTTATCAGATTATAATAGCGCACTGAACTCCTCGCGAACATCACATACGCACATCTCGGGCTCATTGTAATTAACCCCGAGAAGTTGGAGTGGCGCCTTCAGGTGGGAGGCCTGGATGATGTTACGGCACGGACTCTTCGATGCCCGTTGCTGCATGCCTACATAATGATGCACTCGCTTCATGCGTTGTTCCGCTCTTTGCGTTCGCTTTCTGCTTGTCTCAAGTTGGATGTGAATGATGAAAACAGAATTGGTAATGTACCTGGTAAAACAATAAATGTTCGCTTTTGATTCTGCACAATCGCGGGTTCAATATTAGGCGATGTAAAAGGGGTGAAAAGGTCTGTGTCACACTGGTAACCCCCATGATGAATTACATTCTTGTCCACGGCAGCCGTATTCCGTTGGGTGTGAAAAGCAAGGGCACACTTCTGCTTGGATACAACAAACTCATTGGTGCATAAGCATGTTATTTTGAGGCACAAGGCACAATATTTACGTTATTAGGTTGAGCTGTGCATGGGTGCTTTGTATAGAAGGTATGAGGGTTTACACTCCTGTAGGCTTTTTTGTTTTGGAGGAATTCACGTATATATGTACACTGCTTTCGCTGGTTTGCCAAGACCCGTGCTCGCTTCCATTATCGAATCTTGCAAAATATCTCGCATGCGCTCGCCCCAAAATACCACCACCGCTGTTGTCTGTTTTTCTTGTGTACTTGCTCACTCATTGCATTGCTCACTTTCATGTTTATCCCACAACAATTTTGAAGCTTCATTTCACCAAAATTCTTAAGGTTGAGTATGCTTTAGGTTATGTCCGGAAATTCTCATTGATGTCAGGTTCAGCTTTGGTGCAGAATCGTAGCAACATAATGTCGCACTCGCAAATACCTGTTTGGATAGGCACCTCATAAATTACTTTTCCTTGCAGCTGTTTACCGTACGTAGACATGTAGTACGAGACCAGGTCGCCTCATCGAGACCAAGGTTGTTTAATTATTACTTAAGGGGGGATGCGGCCCTTGAAAACCGAAAAATTGCGAAAAAGTCGGTTTTTGAAAAACCACATTTTTGGGTTGTACGTCTCATAAACTACCTATTCTGTAATTATCAGCACCTAATTCAACCGCAAAGTGTAAAAAAAATACTATTTTCGAGGCCGCGGCGGCGTCCAAAACAGGCGCAAATCCCGAAATCAAACCAAACTTCGCGCGCGTGCCATTCTCGGACCATGCGGTCGTCCCGCGCCATCTTGGTGTTGTTTTTA